TATTCCAGAGAGGAATGCGGTAAACACAATTTCTCTACTTATGTTGCATTGTGTTTTATGTCGCTCCTCATGGATTGGCAACTTCCCGGTTAAATGTCCCTTAATTTCACTTTGATTCAGGTGCACTGTAGTGCAGCATGAGGAATCAGCTCAAGACCTAGGGAGCAAAAAAGCACATCGGCTGCTTGTGAAGTCATTCCAAATTTTGAGAGCAAGATTTAGTGTATTAGTGGGTGGATACGTGAGACTGGCTGGAATTTAAAAAGAAAAAAATATTATGAAAGTAAATATAAAGGAAAATCAAAAAGAAGGGAATTTCAGTATTAGTCAGAAGAGATGAATGTGTCAAAATGTTAGTGACAACATAATAAAGATTCAGTCCACTCTTATGCAACATCAATTGTGGGTTAGCCAGCCCTTCTCCATTGGGAAGTTTTGCTATCTTCAACAGGAGATCTGAGGTCTCCATGGCAAGGAAAAGAGAACTTGAGGAAGTTTCTTAAAGGTCAAGCTGGGAGTGGTGTATAGCACTTGTGGACTTACCCCGCTAACCAGATCCAGTCACTGACACTATTATAACTGCAAGAAAAGCCAGGGTAGTAGAATTTCCCTAAGAAAAGGACTGTGGAGTGGAATTTGGGGAACCTATACCATTGTTTCTGCAACAGTCCTTCCTCTGATCACCCAGTAACAGTTCCATTCTTATTCTCTCTTCTAGAATGTATTCGTCTCCTTGAGAGAGACACCCTAAAGGACATATCCAGTTTTCTGAAAGTCTGGGATCTCTGACATAGACTTCATCACCTCAGGCTCTTCCTCTCTATATGGAGATCTGTGAACTAAACCCAAATTCAGGACCACCTGTGGAAATTCAGCAGTAGTTCAAAGCTCTGCAATACTGGGACCAGGATGGACACATACATGCCAGGTTCATATGTGTCCATGACCCTGGCTAGCTGGGAAGGGCTGGACCACTGAAGAGAGGGACTGTAGCCTAAGACCATGTTGATGATATTTATTTCTCTCTCTACTAAAAAGAAAAAAA